ACGATGTTATTCACCTTTTCCACTTTCATTCTCCTACAAGTGAACAATCGAGTTTTCCAGAGGCTACGTGACATGTGACATGGCAATGGAGTGAATGCAGCGGAAGATATGAGAATCTACCTGTTTTCTATTAAGCCTGACATTAAAGAGATGTGCAAAATATGTAAAACAAGGCCACTTTTCTCCCTTTCTTTTATTTGGAAAACATAGTTAGTTGTGATTTTAAATTATAATTATCAATTATTATAATGAACTAACAGCAGTATTTTTATGTGTGTTTTAATTTTTTATATGGTGAATATAAGTAGCTATAACTCACAACAAAGGTCCTCTGGGATCCTCAGAAAGTTTTAAGAGTATGTAAGGGTCCTGGGACCTAAAAGTTCAAGAACTGCCATCCTAGCTGAGCAGTAAACTCTGATATGAACAAACAGGTGCAAAAAGTTCCAGACTTGGTAACATTTGTTCCATTAAAATACTGCAGCACCCACATTTAGTAGTAAAATTCTACCAATTAACCCCAAATAAAAAGAATGAAGCCACCCCACACCTCACTGTAAAATAGAAGCAATATTTCTTTCTGTGATAATTCTCTTTACACATTTAGAAACTATTCTAAATTTCAAAGAACATTAAAAAGTAACATCTACAGTTACTGTTTATGTTTAATCAAATCATCAATGAATATTATGTGAATACTAAATGACTATTATATGAATACTGAATAAATAATTACATTTTTCATTATTCAGTTATCCATTTGGGGACTAATAATTAAGGAAAAACTAGATTCTCTCTATCATTCTTACCACCAAGCTACAAGCTTACAAACCTTTCTTCTCACAATGTACTACTTTATATTTAAATCAAAGATAAAAATGAAATATGAAATCATCATATTGTTTTTCATGGCTTTGTTCTTTCTATCATTTTACTATTTATTACATAGGGAATTCCAAAAATGAACTTGTACTTCAGAAAATTAAATCCTTCATTACCATTTAGTCATACCCTATTCAAATATATGGTTTGTTTTTGTATGAGATTCCTATGTAGTGAATCACTAAAAATACTATAATAACCACACAACATACAACTCTCCTAATACCTGTACTATACAAACCAAACTGAAATCACCATCAAATAACCCTTCTTTCTTATATTGGTAATGCGTACTTATCAGATATGTAGAAAGAGCATAATTTCTTAAATACTATAAACGTGGTCAGGGAAACTCTGGCAACTTGGTAAATAAAAGGAATTTTAGATATTACTGAATGTATACCATGTTTACCTCACAACCTGTCTGAAAAGTTAATAGTATGATAAAATTTCCATACACTATGGAATCACCAACACTCATTCAGCTAGCAGAGAGACCCAGGCAGTCGTGAAAAATAACATGACTATAGAGGCATCTATAAACGAGGGCAAAAACAGATAGAGACCACATAAATCCTGACTTTTTAACAAGGCACAAACTATGAAGACAGTGGGTCAGTATAACGAAGGAAAAAAACTCTTTTAACAGCTCTTAGAAGGCAATACTATGACGAGGTATAACTTTAGAAACAGCCACTGCTGCTACTACCAAATTATTTTTTAGAACCACATAGTTCAGGGAACATCAGAAAGTCAAGCCATCACTTGAGAAATCGTAATTTAACATACTCATGGTCTCAAATAGTATATTTAATATCGTTTCTATAGTTAAAGAGATTTGCCAAGAATAGTAACTTATGACAGAAAAAAAATGATTTTACTTCCTTTGTTAAGTAATAATTTATAACTAAAAAAATGTTATTTTACCTTCTGTGATAAAGATATCAGCTGATAAATTCCAAGAAATAAATAATTGCAAAGTTTCCCCTGATATAGCCTATTTAAGTCACCTGATACTAAGGAAATAATTTAACATAAAGAAACATTACTCAAAATCACAGATCTTAAAAGAAAATTTGCCCATAAATTCAAAACACGTTCCATGTATTTTCATAAAGTATCAACAATTCAACTAAGCATTTTTTCAAGTAAATAAAAAAACTTAATTCTAATAACTAAAGAACTGTATAGTTTAGTTAATTAAATAACCATCTGCCTGTCTCCTTGATTTATCATTTCCATCACTGATTTTTTTCTTTATATTTCTAAATCTCTAAAGTGAGGAAATAAATTTACCTAACAAATGAAATTAATTAAAATAAATAAAATTTTTGGAAATTGTTGGCTATGTTTCTTTGTCAGAAAGAAAATAAATTCAAATTTTAATAATATAACAATTGTGTATAATATTTAAACATCAAACTTTAAGCATACAACCACATAAGTTAACAGGCAATAAGAATTTTGGAGATTATGTATTGCAACTTCACATCTAATAAAAGAAAAGATTCTTATTATTCTCATTTAAGAATTTATAGTTTCAACCAAGGACCTACAATTGTAAATTATTCTGCTCAATTTCAAGAATAAAAAGATGAATGTATCATTTCACTAACATCAGAGTTCAAATTTTAACCAACCAGATAGACATAAGCAAACAATAATATAATGTGATAAAAGAAAAATACAGATACATTCAAAATAATTTCAGGTCAAATTTCTGGAGAGAAATACTGATGTCAGGAAATACACTGCAAAAGAGGTGACATTAAGATTGGGGCCTGAAGAAAGAAGGAATTCACTGAGAAAGACATTCCAGAAAGAAGAATATGGATAGCTAAAAGCACTAAGCCCTTTTCTGTAGTAAGTTTAGTGCAACTAAAAGGTGGGTCAGTAGAAAGGGAAAGGAATCTGGACCCCATGCTAAACGATGAGTCCCATTAGGAGTGGAAGGAGGCGAGGAGGCACAGCGCACGAGGGGGCCCAGGTCAGAGAGGTGACCACGGACACTGGGGGAAGAGAATGAAGTCAAGAGATACAGAGAGAGAGTGACAGAACTTATTCATTGCCCAAAAGGCCAAAAGCAAAGGTCACTAACCTTTTTAGCTTGAATGGGGGTGCCACTAATTGAACAAGATAATCCAAAAGAGCAAACAGGTCTTGTGGAAGGGAGAAAAGTCATTGGAAAAGTAAGGGAAAGAAGAGGAGAAAAATTCTAGGTATACAGAATTTCTGATTCCACTGGCACAAACATGTATCATTAGATCTTAAGAATGGAAATAGGAGATAGAAAGAACTGGAAGTCATCCTTGTATAGAAAGTTATTTCATCCTTTCTTCCCTCCCTCTTGTGACAAAAAACTATGGGATCATAAAGATGAAGCAAAATGAGGAGCAGAAAGTTAGAGAGAATCCGCTTCCTTACCTTTGAGTAGCTATATCAACCCTGTAATCGCTCACTTGGAACTCCTTGTTCATTTTTCCTCACATCACTCCCCTTTACTTGTCTGAACTAGGGCTCTGGTGATTTTCATTACTGTCAGCCAAATTCATTCCACCCCAATGCAGTGAGTGGTCGGCACAGTTCCCCTAGGAGATCACATCCATTCCCTTAGCTTTACAAGTCACCTCCATGCCAATGACTCCCAAATCCTAGATCTTCATTATACTCAGTAAATGTTGAGTGGATGTAACAAAACAAGGCTATTCAATACATAACTTTTTGCTATCACACAAAGTGATAACAGAATAAAACAATACTCTAATCCTATGGAAAGCTAACTCAGCCTCCCTCATATGCACACTGTAGTAAAGATGTAGAATCCTACTGTCTGCATCTGATTAGTGATTTAGTGAACTGATTTAGTGAACAAATTAGAGAGAAAAGAGGGATCTTGTCACACAAATTAGATAAAGAGAGACACATATCGACTTACATAAGGATCAAAACCCAAACAGGTAGAACTAGATAAATTTTCTATTTTCTCAGAGATATCTCACTAAATAATTCTAAATAAGTCTATTTTTTAATTTGTGCTTTTATTGTGGTTAAATATACATAATACAAAATTTATCATTTTTATTGTTTTTAACTGTATAATTCAGTGGCAATAGTTATATTCACATTGTGGTGCAACCATTACTACCACCCACCTCCAGAACTTTTTCATCATCCCGTACTGAAACTCTGTGTGCATTAAATAATACTGTCCCACTCCGCAGTCCCTGGCAACCACTACTCTGCCCTCTGTCTCTATGAATCTGACTAGGTACCTTAAGTAAGTAGGATTACATGGTATTTGTCCTTTTGTGACAAGCTTATTTTATTTAGCACAACATCCTCAAGGTTCACCTGTATCATAGTGTATGTCTACAGGTGAGTAATGTTCCATTGTGTGGACAGAGGACATTTTGCTTATTCATCAGTCTGTCAATGAACACGGGGTTGTTTACACCTTTTGGCTATTGCAAATACTGCTGCTATAAGCATGGGTATACAAATACTGTTTTCAGTATATGGTTTAAGTTCTTTTTTGTCTATAACCAGAGGTGGAGTTGCTGGTCAAATGGGAATTCTATGTTTAATTTTTTTAAGGAACAGTCACACTGCTTTCCATGTCAGCTATACCATTCTACACTCCCACCAGCAGTGCACAAAGAACCCAGTTCTTTTATTCACATGAACACACTTGTTTACTGTTGCAGGGGTTGGTTTTGCTTTGTTTGGTTGGTAACAGCCACTCAAATGGGTGTGAAGTGGTATGACAATGAGTCAGAGGAGAATCATCTGCTTCAGGACCACAGATGACCACAGATAACTGAAAACCATGGATAAGTAGAGGACTCTTATATTGCCAAAAAGTCTAAGAGTGTGGAAGATAAATGCATCTTATATTGTCAAATTAAAATTCTCACAATGGTCTCTACTCATTAGCATCATCACAAAAAGCTCCAAGTATTTTTAGATAGTGGGGGGAATGTTAAGACAATGTCTAGTAAGCACAGCCTTAAGAAGTGATTCATTTTAACCAAATTTAAAATGCTACTCTTTGAAACCAAAGAGTCACTAACATGATAACCCATTTTATTATAAATTTAAAAATGAATGTAAGCCTTTACCTCCAGATCCCAACTGCTTGTAGAATCTGTATTCCAAATGTAGCTGTGGTGCTCTGGATTTCATGGGCTCCTAATTAGAAAACAAACATCAAAAAATATTTAAGTTATTATAGACTCACTAGGCCTCAATTCCAAATGTTATAAATCTGACTCTTCTATAATGCCCATATTGTATTAGGCATCTTTGTCTCTCTAAGGTTGGATTCATATAAAAATCAACTTTGTGAGAAGAAGATTAAAGATGGTGGCGTGAGAGGTGAGCCAGGGCTTCCTCCTAAAACCACACATAATACGAAAATATAATTAATACGACTAATCCTGAAAGAGCAACAGGAAAGAAGGCAAGGCCAAACTGCATACACCTGGAGAAAAGAATAAGCCTTACACAACAGGGTAACGTACCAAAGCCGTGGCCCAGCGGGAACCAAACCCTTCCGCCACCCCAGCTCACCAGCGGAAGGAACAGAAACAGAGCTGGGAGGGAGTGGAAGGCCTGGGACTGCTGAATACCTAACTCCAGAGATCTGTTCTGGGAGCACAAACCTACATTTCAGGGTGCTGTCTGGAAAGCTAAGACAGGCAGAATATCTAGAGAGACTGAGATTCCAGCCACTTGTGGAAAGCAAGGATCCATATCCAGCTGCTCTGGGACAACAGAAAGGCAGGCAGTCTGAGAAACTTACTAATAACAAGAAGGCTGCTAAAGGGGAAAGGATTGCACAGAGCTTACTGCTCAGGAGAAAGGACAGGCACACAAAATTGTCTGGGTACACTCTGCCCAGCACGTTGGGAACTTTCTCGATCTTCAGGCGCTCCAGCTCCCTGGCTGGCTACACAGCTCAAAGGACCCTCCTCCTTCAAGCCTACCGTGCCTTTCTCCCAGCCAGCCCCACCTGGCTCACAAACCAGCAAACCCTACCCTGGCATTAGGCCAGCCAGAGGGAAGCCCCATACAGCAACTACAAATACAAAGCATAGAGGCTTATACCTGTGTGCTCAGGCCACTGGTTTTGGCAGTGGAGGCAGGCATAGCAGCCGGGAAGCAGGAAACAGCTCTTTCCTCCCCCCAGGCACCAATACCACTCCCCTGTGACCCCTGAAATAGCTTCAGGAGCTGAGCAACTCCAGAGAGTAGAGCTTCTAGACACTAGAAGGCACTATATACAAACATGAAACGCTAAAGAAATCTGGTTCAAAGTAAAATTATGAATACGACACCTGAGAAAGATTCAAATGAAATCGACCTCATGAATATTCCTGAAACGGATCTCAAAATAAAAATCATTAACATGCTCATGAAGGTACAGAAAAATATTCAAGAACTCAGGAATGAATTCCACTTGGAGATCCAATCATTGAAGAACACAATGGATGATATTAAATGCAGATTAGATACAGTGGAGGAGATAATAAATGAAACAGAAATTAGAAAGAAGGAATACAAAGAAACTGAGGCACAGAGAGAAAAAAGGATCTCTAAGAATGAAAGAATATTGAGAGAACTGTATGACCAATCAAAATGGAACAATATTCACATTATAGGGGTACCAGAAGGAGAGGGAAAAAGGGATAGAAAGTATCTTTGAGGAGGTAATTGCTGAAAACTTCCCCAATCTGGGGAAGGAGATAGTCTCTCAGGCCATGGAGGTGCACAAATCTCCCAACACAAGGGACCCAAGGAAGACAACACCAAGACATATAGTAATTAAAATGGTAAAGATCAAGGATAAGGACAGACTACTAAAAGCAGCCAGAGACAGAAATAAGATCACATACAAAGGAAAGCCCATCAGGCTATCATCAGACTTCTCAGCAGAAACCTTATAGGCCAGAAGGGAGTGGGATGACGTTTTTAATGCAATGAAGCAGAAGGGCCTTGAAACAAGAATACTTTATCTGACAAGATTATCATTTAAATTTGAAGGAGGGATTAAACAATTTCCAGATAAGCAAAAGCTGAGAGAATTTAACTCCCACAAATGGTCTCTACAGTGTATTTTGGAGGGACTGCTATAGATGGAAGTGTTCCTAAGGTTTAATAGCTGTCACCAGAGGTAATAAAACCACAGTAAAGAAAGTAGGACAGTTAATTACCAAACAAATGCAACATTAAATCAACTATCCCCAAAGTCAGTCAAGGGATAGACAAAGAGCACAGAATATGATACCTAATATATAAAGAATGGAGGAGGAAGAAAAAGAAAGAGGAAAAAAAAAAGAACCTTTAGATTGTGTGTGTAACAGCATATTAATGAGTTAAGTTAGACTCTTAGACAGTAAGGAAGTTAAGCTTGAACTTTTGGTAACCAAAATCTGAAGCCTGCAATGGTGATAAGTACATATCTATCAATAATCACCCTAAATGTCAATGGACTGAATGCACCAATCAAAAGACACAGAGTAATAGAATGGATAAAAAAGCAAGACCCATCTATATGCTGCTTACAAGAGACCCACCTCAAACCCAAAGACATGCACAGATTAAAAGTCAAGGGATGGAAAAAGATATTTCATGCAACGAATAGGGAGAAAAATGCAGGCGTTGCAGTACTTGTATCAGACAAAATAGACTTCAAAACAAAGAAAGTCACAAGAGGCAAAGAAGGACATTACATAATGATTAAGGGGTCAATCCAACAAGAAGATATAACCATTATAAGTATCTATTCACCCAACATGGGAGCACCTACATATGTGAAACAAATACTAACAAAATTAAAAGGGGAAATAGACTGCAAGGCATTCATTCTAGGAGACTTCAACACTCCACTCACTAGGAAGGACAGATCAACCAGACAGAAAATAAGTAAGGAGACAGAGGCACTGAACAACACATTAGAACAGTTGGACCTAATAGACATCTACAGAACTCTACACCCAAAAGCAGCAGAATACACATTCTTCTCAAGTGCACATGGAACATTTTCAAGAACAGATAATATACTAGGCCATAAAAAGAGCCTCAGTAAATTCAAAAAGATTGAAATTGTTCCAACCAGTTTCTCAGACCACAAAGGTATGAAACTAGAAATAAAGAACAGAAAGAAAATGAAAAATCCCACAAACACATGGAGGCTTCACAACATGTTCCTAAATAGCCAATGGATCAATGACCAAATAAAAATAGAGATCAAGCAATATATGGAGACAAATGACAACAATTTGCCACAAAATCTGTGGGACACAGCAAAGGCCATGCTAAGAGGAAAGTATAGTGCAATACAGGTCTACCTCAGGAAAGAACAATCGCATATGAACAGTCTAAACTCACTATTAACGAAACGAGAAAAAGAAAAAGATATGAGGCCCAAAGTCAGTAGAAAGAGGGACATCATAAAGATGAGAGCAGAAATAAATAAAATCGAGAAGAACAGAACAATAGAAAGAATCAATGAAAGCAAGAGCTGGTTCTTCGAGAAAATAAACAAAGCAGATAAACCCATAGCCAGACTTACCAGGAAAAAAAGAGTCTATGCACATAAACAGAATCAGAAATGAGAAAGGAAAAAATCACTAAAGACACCACAAAAATACAAAGAATTATTAGAGAATACTATGAAAAATTATATGGATAACTTTCTAGAAAAACACAACCTTCCAAGGCTGACCCAGAAAGAAATAGGAAATCTAAACAGACCAACTACCAGCAACAAAATTGAATTGGTAATCAAAAGACTACCTAAGAACAAAACTCCTGAACCAGATGGCTTCAATGCTGAATTTTTCCTTCTTAAAGTTTTCCAAAGAGTAGAAGAGGGAATACTTCCAAACTCACTCTTTCAGGCCAGCATCACTCTAATACCAAAACCAGGCAAAGACACCACGAAAAAAGAAAATTACAGACCAATATCCCTGATGAATACAGATTCAAAAATACTCAACAAAATATTAGCAAACCGAATTCAAAAACACATCAAAAAGATCATTCATCCTGATCAAGTAGGATTTACTCCAGGGAAGCAAGGATGATAAAACATTTGAAGATCCATCAACATCATCCACCACATCAACAAAAAGAAGGAAAAAAAATCACATGATCATCTCCATAGATGCTGAAAAAGCATTTGACAAAATTCAACATCCATTCATGTTAAAAACTCTCAACAAAATGGGTACAGAGGGCAAGTACCTCAACATAATAAATGCCATATATGACAAACCCATAGCCAACAGATATATTCTTTCTATACTTAACAGAAAGAAGATGAAAGCTTTTCCTTTAAGATCAGGAACAAGACAAGGATGCCCACTCTCCCCACTTCTTTTCAACATAGTACTAGAGGTCCTAGCCATGGCAATTAGACAGCACAAAGAAATAAAAAGCATCCAGATTGGCAAGGAAGAAGTTAAAACTTTCCCTGTCTGGAGATGACATGATATTGTACATAAAAAATCCTAAAGAATCTACTCCAAAACAACTAGATCTTATATCTGAATTCAGCAAAGTTGC